GTGAGTGCCAGGCGTCGCCGCGGGTTCCCCACCAGCAGAGTGTTCATCCTCAGCGTTTACCGCAACATGGAGATCCGACGCGAACAAACCCAAGTCACGACTCGGGATAGGCAGTCTCGGGGTGATGATATCAGGATGAACAGGCCACTGCCCTGTCTCACGGAACGCTCTCTGGATGAGTGGAATCGTGAACGTCTCCAAGTATGGCTTGGCAATAATCCTCAGGAATGTAGCCTTGTCTACCCTCTTTCCCGTTCCCCTCTCATACTCACGACGTGCTTTATCATAACGCGCTTTGAAGGGCGCAAAGCACGCGTAATCGAGTGGGTTCACGATGTGATTGGTGTTTATACCAAAAGCCCCGATTTCAACGCGATGCTTGACAGCGTAGTTGAGCAATTTTATGTTAATGAAGCTGCGATGCCATCTGACTGAAAGTTGTCTATATTCGCCTTCTTCGTTGCCACTTGGACGCGTTTTCTTCTCGAATTTTTTGAACCACTTGTAGATGAGCGCGCGGTTTATGACTGCGATTTTCGAGGTGGCGACGCTGTGAGATTGAGATAGTATACCTTGTCAGCGGCGTAAAGCGGTGATGAACGGCCTACGAACCTGGCGCGAAGTGGGTTGTCCCAGTCGTGATCCCCTAACGGAGAGTCGGTGGATTGGAATATCACCATAGGCGGCATAGAGGAATAACCCTCTGCGCAGACAGACACGAGCAGAGTGGCACTTTCGCGGCCAGGATCACCCGGAAACTTGGGTTGGTAGCTCAAAGGGAGTGTAATCTGGTCCATACAGTGATGATGCCTGGGTTTGACATGTCGTTTCTCCTCTATCGTATGGAGAACATCATACCACGACGTGATCCTTTCACGACTTGGAGCACGGTCTATCTCTCGAAGAATCGCGTCGTTTCGAGCGAGAATCGATCCAACGCTCCCGGACACGCGGTGGCGTCTGCCCAGGAGGGATCCTCCTCATATTCGCCAGTATGGAGTTAGCGTATTCTGAGATGTTCCGTCTGGTTGGGGAGATGCGAAGTTTGGCCATGCACCATACCAGTGCGTTCTCCTCTGCAGGACGAAGCTCCCTCATCGGTACTTCGTCGCCGTCCGAGTCGTAGTACATATCCGCAGGTTGCTGATGTGAATTTGTCCTAGGCATTGAGAAAGAGGTCGCTGTCAGGCTTACAATGTGAATGTATGGAGTATAGTGGTGACGCTAGGGTTCCGAGCCTCTTCTAGGACACTGCTTGTACTGGTTTCTGTACTAGAGTACAAGAAAGAGAGCGGCGCAGAAGTGGCGACCCTGCGCAGAAAGGCCGACTCACGGGATCCCGTGAGGTAAATGATAAACACAATAGAGAGCACGCTTACCGAACCTGTAGGAAATTGTTTGCGTTGTTTAACAGTCTCCGCACTTACACGAATTTGTGAGTGTGCACATCATGTAAACTGTAGGACGGGCGCTGAAATAGCCTTGTCCTTGGCAAGTAAGTACTGTTCCGAGTCGCAGCATGGCGTCGCCGCGTTCGAAGCACTTCAGCTAAATGGTAAAAACACGAGCTCTGAATACTTAGAGCACTCTAAACGTTGGTGCTGAGTCGATAGTACTTGAAAATGATGTACCAGGCAAAAATGTGACTCGGACGAGACATGCGCATATGGTATGTAGACCGTAGACGAGGCAACAAACTTGGATACAGCAAAGAGGCCCATACGATGAGGAAGAGAATAAAGCAACACTGAACGCTAAGCTTAAGGGTTGTCTCGGTCGAACCGCTTGAACTGATGTGTCTCGTACTCCTTGATCTTGAATTTCCTCTTTTTGGGGCTAAAATGAGCGACAAGTCAGTCAACGATTTAAGGAACGAGACAAGGTGAGAGAGAAGTTGCATGAGAAGCAGGCACGTACAGGACAGGCACGCGGGGCTCGACGAGAGCTCGGTGTTGCAGATTGAGGAACCGGTCTCTGAAGAGGTTTCCCTCAGGCTACGCAAAAAATGTAAATCGTCAGGATCGATGTTATCACCGATCCAAAGGAAAGAACCGTAAACGTACCTTCAACCCCCTCAAACTCTCACTCAACTCCTCCCCTAGTTGCACATCAATCTCACCCTCCGGAACCACATGCTTGCCCAGCTTCCTCCCAGCCAGACCCTTCTTCATCCTCTCCTCTTCCTCTTTCCTCTTTTGCTCTGCACGTTGTTGAGCGCGGAGAGATGCTTGTTTGAGGACGGATTTGCGGAGGGACTTTGCGGAGGGTATGGATGAGAGGAGACGTTTTTGGTGCAGTTTTTCGAGGATTGCGCGGCTCTGCAGGTGTTGGGGTGTTGATGTTAGAATGAGGGAATAATGGAATGATATGAAGGTATTTATGACATACCTCGGCACGACGCTTTGCAGCTTTCAACCTCTCCTGCTTCGTCTTCCTCTCTGGCATCTTCTTCGCCGGAAGAATCTCGCCATTCTCATCCTCATTTGTCTCTTCTTGTCCTTCTTTGGGCAGATCGACCTTCATACCTGCCACGGCACCCTCCCCATCCGCATTCATCTCCTCCTCGGCCGCCTTCTTCCTCGCCTCTTCAAGCTTTGCCCTCATCGCTTGGTTCTCCTCCGCCTCCTTGGCACGTTGTTCTTCTTTTTGGATCGCGGCTTGGAGGAGCGTTTGATGTGAGGTAACAGGGGGATTGTACGATGTTCCTTCGTGAGGCGTCGGGACAGCTGAGACTGCTATTTGTTGGCGGGGGTTAGGTGTCTTGGGAGCCTATACACATTCTAGTTAATATTTTGTTTCTTTGAACGGTAAAGTAATTCAGACCATACCTTGACTTTGGGCTTCTTCCCGGGTATAGGCACCTCTCTGTCAACACCATCGATCTCAATATCCTCACTCTCATCTTTTGCACCCCACACATCATACGTCCCACTCTTCTTTACAGCCTCGGTGACCTCCAACAACGCACTACCCGCTCCGACCTCCGTAGGGTCCATCACGGCATTGAATGGGCCCTTGCGCACCTTCTTACCTATCCGCAACAATCTCTCTTTCTCTTCATGAGATAAGTTTAGTTTGCGTTTGGCTGCTGCAGAAGCAGAGTTGGAGAAGGAGGTGAAGCGGGAGATGACGGCGGGGACGGCAGAACGTTGTGCGAGGATCTTGGCGGAGGTTAGTTGGGAGGTTGAGAATTTGGGGAGACGTTTTCGAACTATGTGGTATGCTCTGTAAAACAGTACCATTGTATAGGCAGCAGGAACATACCGTTGTCGTCTCCCTTGACATCAATCTGGAAGAGCTCTGAATCCGACTTTGCATGAAGTGCAGAGCTGCAGAACGTGAATCCACACCAAGTTGATATGTTAGTTATAAAGACACGTACCCAACCACTCTCTCCTCGGTTCTAATCTCCTCCAGCTTCTCCTCTACATCCTCCAAATCCACATGTTTCCGCCATGCCTTCTTGCCTTTCCGACTAGACTGGTTTCGCTGCGAAGGCGCTCCAATAGACGAACGGACCTTCTTCTGCACCGTTGTCGCTGTACTCGTCGCTTTCGTCGCCGTCATCCCCGCAGAGTTCACGAGCAAAAGGAGGGGTGAGAAGGGATACGGAGGGCGTGAAATAGAAGAGACGACCTTGAAGATGGATTCCAGTTTGGGGAAAAGTTTCGTGAACCCGATCGTCGATCGAGATTTTGATGCCGATGTTAGCGCGTTCATTTCTACAGGTCGCGGTCGCGTCTCTGTCTTGGAAGCGATCGCTCAGTTGCACGTTGACCCCGACTTTCATGGGTTCTGCTGGCACTAGCCAGCACTCTTCCAAGATATCTAGGTAAACTCACGGTCTATAGCTCAGTATATAGATTGTCAACTGGAGGTAAACCTTATCGCGAGCAACAACCACCCGTAATGCCAAAGTCTGCCCTGCGGAGAGTCTGGCAAGACATGACGAAAGCCAACTCTCCCTCCCTTCTCTTCCTCATTGCTAGTAGTGCACTCCTTCTCTCAGGTATAGTCCAAATGATCACCGCGTGGATGCAAACGCAGGCCGCGCGCGAAATGGCGAATTGTGAGCCTAGGGTGGTCATAACACCCGTCAGAGAACGGTTCGAGGATGACTACAGTAAGTCGGCCTACTCGTCTTCCCTTGCACCATCCAATCTTGACAACCACATATTGGGTATAGCCTGGATAGGGGATGACCGTCCAAATGCCCTCCCACTCTCCGTTGACCCACCCGTAGCCCTCACAATCGAGAATTCACGTCACTACGCCGCCTCGTCCGAGGACGCGGACGCAGAATGGCTCTCGATATACCCAGGGACGAATAGAGGGTTCATCAGGCTAGGACCCAACAAACGGTTCTTTGGTCTGGCGATGTTTCACCAAATACATTGCTTGAACTCGTTGAGGTTGGCTATGACCGGTCGACCTCCGCATTCCCTCCGTCGGAGAGATGATGGGGACAAAGAATGGATGAACGATGAGGTACAAATCGAGCATGCTCATCATTGTCTCAACTACCTCCGCCAGGCCATTCTCTGCAATGCAGACTTGACGTTAGAGCCAGAGATCAGGGAAGGAACAGAGGACGTCGGAGAAGGACTGGGCGTCACTCATGTCTGTCGAGATTGGAGTAAAGTGTATGCCTTTGTGGAACAGAACGAGGTCGAGTGGAAGCATTGGCTTCAGAGTAGGAATACGACTGTTCATTGACTGACGGTGAACCGATGTATAGTTTCAGATTCATGTTGGAAGAGTGAGCTAGGTTGACGACGGCATTAGACAAAAATGAGTACATCAAGACAGTAGGAAATATATTCGTCCATCCCCAAGCAATTCCGTCTCCCGACCTCCAGTTCCTCTTCTTGTATGCCACAGCCTACCACAGAGAACGACTATCTTCTCTGTGATGGTCAGTGGAGGAAGTTCCGGGCTCCTTTCGAGTTCTCTATCAATGGGTCCGAGAACAAAAAAGCACATACATGCCTCTCGAGGTATGGACATTCAGGGGATTGAACCCTGGACCTCACGCAGATGCACAATGCGAAGCGTGCGCGCTACCACTGTGCCAAATGCCCATACTATTGGAATAGCATAGTGACATCCTGTCCGTTGGCGCATGCGCGGGTATATTTGGCCAAGCTAAGGTTGAGCTAGAGAAACACTTTGCCCCGGGTATGGATGCATTGACCAGTGTGATAGTTGCATTCACATAGCGAATAAGATATGCTTACAAGAGAATCCCCGAGATCATGTAGCAAAGCACAAGAAAGAAACAATCGAAAACCAAGAACGAACAAGATGCGAACTATTATTCTCTTCTCCCTGATGAGACGAATCGAATGGGCAACAGGTATCAAGAGACGAAGGTATAGGACCGATGCGATATTGAGAAATGAATCGAGTGGCTTTCTACCGATAGGTTTTACAGGGCGAGTGCGGCAAGGCCGACTGCAGCGAGACCAGCGAGAGCGTTAACACCATGGGTCATGGCACCGTTAGGAGAACCACTATGAACGCGAAGTCAACAACGGCATCTGAAAGATAAGGTTGGGATTCACTTACGTTGCGCTGGGGGATGCGGAAGATGCAGAAGAAGGCGAAGTGGCAGAGCCGCTGGGAGCAGCGCTAGTAGCGGATGAGCTGCCACTAGAAGCGGAGGATTGAGAAGCGGAAGTCGAAGTGGCAGCAGGGGTCGAGGTCAGAGTCACACCCTGATGCATTCACGAGAGGCGAATGAGCGACTTTCTTTGAAGATCGATGAGACAAAGATACGTACGACAGTCTCGCAGAACGACCGAGCGGTGGCTTCAGCCTTGGTGGCATCATCAGCGCTGCAGCTCGAAAGGATGCAAGAGGTCGTGCTGCTGATGAAATCTGGGTTCTTGCACAAGCAACCAAGATCATCGGCGGAGCAAGAACCAATGTCGGCATTCGCAATGCAAGGGTTTGCGCAATCTGTGAACCGTATCAGAGATGTCAGAATGACTCCATCACCATCACGGGAATCCCTGAGACACTACACACCAGGGTATTGCCTAGCGAAGAGGGTGGCGGCAGAGGCGGTGGCAACAAAGCCAGAGAGAGCAACGATGAAAGAGACGGCACGCATGTTGAATGGATAGATAGCGTTAAATAGCAGCGGACCAAATAGCACGAGACGCAAGGTAGAGTACGTCGGAAGAACGAAGGAGTGCGAGGGAGGAGAGAGAGGGCCCGAGACGCTTTAGCAAGTGGGAGTTGCTATGGAGGAGGGAGGAGCAAAGCGAGGGGCACCTTTATACAAGAGACGAGAGTGATGCCCAGACTTGTTTGGTTTTGGGAAACGGCCCACGGTTCACAAACAATCGAACGTAAAGATCACAATGGCAGCCCCTGGCGAGCCCTGCATGATGGTGCATCGCATGGCTGTCTTAGTCGCGGAGGTAACGGCGTATCTAAAGAAAGTTATAAATGGTGGTCATAACATAATGCCCGGCCAATTGTCTCTGAATTCCAAGATTTTGACCTGTTGCGACGGCCTGGAGAACAAAGAGGGCTGGAGAAGAATGGGAACCGCGAACGAGGCTTCAAAGGGAAGTCTCGTTATGGGCAAGATTCAATCAGAAGCGCCAGACACGCTCAGGGTCCAATTTCTAAAACAGCCGCCCAACGCCGGTTACTGCCGGTGTTTGGCCGTGCTTGGCTCTGCGCTGCTCACGTGTCGCGGCGACACCCGAGGAACTGTAAAGCTTGACCCAGCCACGCAAACCTTATTCGGTAGCAGCCACAGAGACCAAACAAGGCCAAAGCGACACTTTCGGGCGCGCAAGTCCAAGGTAAGGAAACCAGAGCTGCTCATCGACCCCCCGACATCCGCAAGACATGGTGCGTCGTCCTGCTGCCCGTCCTCGCTGTCGACGTTGTGCTCACCTTCTTGTCGTTGTATAGGCCCCCGCAAACCCCACCAAAAAGGTGTCGTAGGATCATGATGCTGCAATATGCATAGTACTCATCGAATATACAGTCCGGCAAGACTCGCTCGGCCCTCCAAGACGTCGTCACCCGTGAATACACCATCAACCTGCACAAGCGTGTGCATGGCCGCTCATTCAAGAAGCGTGCTCCCTGGGCCGTCAAGTCCGTCGTAGATTTCGCTCAGAAGGCTATGGGAACCACCGATGTCCGGCTCGACCCCAAGCTCAACCAGGCTCTCTGGGCACAGGGTATCAGGTCGCCTCCTCGCAGGATACGGGTAAAGCTTGAGCGTGCGTATATTGAGAATACATTTTGTGGTGAAGTTGAAGTTTTGACGAATTGGTGGCTTTTCTAGGGAAACGTAACGATGAGGAGAACGCCAAGGAGAAGCTCTTCACGTACGCAACTTTCGTCCCCGTCGAGTCCTTCAAAGTACGACAAATTGTTCTCATCTCTATTTCAAACAACTCACATCTTGGCGCAGGGTCTCGAGACAGTGGTTGTCGACGCCGAGTAAACATCACACTGCCATGTCTTGTACTTATGCATAAACTAGGTGGTCAGCGATGACATCCGGGGTCTCACTGTATTCTTTCTCCTTGCATTCCAGTCGCTGCCGTCACCATATGTTGCCGCTATGTTTTACACCCTCCCCTATTCTCACTGCACCGACCATTGTTTTGCACACCGTCTCCCATATGCCATATCATGCGAGCAATGAAAATGACGTCGTACTAGCGACATCGTCGAGTGCCATAGGAAGAGGGCTTCTTGCCGGTAAGACTCGCTCGCAACCACTCCACTTGCTTGAATGAGTGCTTTCTACCGGTACCTCGTAAGTGATACGGAATCTGGGTAAGTGCACCCATTTCGTTGCACACCCCTCCAGATCCGTTTCTTAGCATTGGGACGTTCCGTCGTCACTGCATGCATGACAAGTAGCAGGGTATGCTTTTGTTTTTCGCCTCCATAAATACTTGTGCTTTGAAGTAGCCGGAGAGAATGTGATCATAGCGATCTCGGCTGCGTGCAGGGCCGTAGAGAAACTACACAGTCGATTCGAGTAAGGTTAATTTCATTGGGATCCCTATCATCTACCAAGTCATGCAAAGTCGCAGCACCAGTGAGTGATGTCCCAAAAGGCATATAGTACGAGGAGAAATCTCCGTCGTCACCCTGAAACCAGGTATATGGATGGAGTACAAAGCGTCAATAATGCAATATTCAGGCCGTCGTAAGTTGGTCGTTAGCCTGGTGTTTAACGAACATCAGTACAGTAACGTGAAGTGGTTAGCTTGCCTGTCCGCGTCATTGTGTGATGAAGACATGAAATATCCGAGCGAACGCGTATTGAATGCGTAGATCATCTGGCAACTTATTGAATCGCAAGGTTGCAACCCTGAACGTTGAACCTTGCAAGTTGGCCGTTACTAGTATTGAATTCGTACCCGCGGCGCGCCGTACGCGTACTGGGCCCGACGGGAAACCCTTTCGCTCCGCTCGGGGTTAGGGACGATATGTATTAGAATTTAGTTCGTATAGGCGGCGGTGAAGCTATAGCATTAGTATTGGCACCAATTACTCACCATCACTTATCGCAGAACATACTCGCAGAACATACTCGCCGAGTGAGACATTGGAAAAAGACACACGAACCTTGAACCCAATGATAGCGCGTATTGTGCGGTAGCCCATGTACCCTTTCACAGCAATTACTCTAGAAAATGGTCGTTAGGTAAGTACACCGAGGCGAAGAAGCAACTTGTTACTTGAAGTATCCATATCCACACGCGGATCGCATGAAGAACTGTCGAGAACAAAAAGGAGCCCAAAGAACAATAAGATTACCACCCCAAGCCAATTATCCTTCAAGAAAGCGTGCGTGCAACGTGTGTTGCGAGGGGCTGCGAAGTATGTACATAGAACGCATCCAAGTTGCCAATAGCGAAACATGGTGCGACATGGCATATCAGAGGTTCAGATCTCTGTGATGCCTCACTTTGACTGCGTCTGGGATCGTCGACTTGTTCGGCATTCGTTCCCAGATAGGGTCTACATCTGGTCCGTCCAAGTCTCCTGCACCGTCCCAACCCCAGCACCATACTGCTGGCACATGAGTACACCATCGTAATATATTCGTCTTATCAATGCCACGTACCATATTCGGGCCCTGGCTGGAAATCCAGCTCTTCACTCTCTTCGTCGGTGAACAGTCGATCGTGAGGACCAAACCAGGCGCGATCTTGAGGGTCTGTACGAGGGTTATCGGGTAGACCGCCTAGCCGGGAGTATCCACGAATGGAGGTAAGGTTCTTTCTTGGCGGGTGGATGATCTCGTATACTCTCTGCACAATTCAGAGCGACGTCAGGGAAACTCAAAACAAAACGAGCAACGGACACTTACCCTATCGTAAGCCAGCTTGACCCTAGGAACCATCAAAATCCTACCATACCCCGCCTCCCAATAGTCATTGCAAATCAAACTACATTCACTCGCACTACACTCTCCCTCCGTGATCCTCGCCATCCTGAACCTGACGTGCGGAGGTGTGTAGAACGGTGCGGGGTCGAGTACGGCGATACCGTTCCAGCAGGACTGAACTTGGATGGGGAGGTGACGCATGAACCTGTCTTCGGAGTCTGGATGGTGGAAGACGGACTCGAAGGGTGCGTTCTCAAGCGCGGTGCCGTTGATATCTCGGGCAACCCAATTGTCGTAGAAGACGGGAGATCCCTGAGTTTCATAAGTAGTGAGATATAGGTGCATAGGCAAGAAGACAATGAAAGGACGCACAAGCTCTTCGTGGAACATGTAATCGGCTGCACAAGTGATACCCGCATTATTCCTTCGACTTTGCCAGATCAACTCCAACAAATCGTCGACACAGGGCAAGATATCGTTCATGAACACGATAGTGTCAAAATACTCATTCTCCGTATTCCGCAGCTCATGTAGCGGCACGAAAGCAGCATTTCGCACTTCGGCAAGGTACTCGATACGATGGTTGAACGCGCCTCTTGTTCGTGTCGAAGTCCGAATCATGACACGCAACCCAACAGAACGACACAGTGCATCAAATATCCGGAGAAGAGCCTTCGTTTGGTCCGTCGAGCCATTTTC